TTTAGTACGTGGAAGCTAATGAGTGAATTTAAGTGGGTCCTGTATGTTTTAATATTTTTCAATAAGTAAATAGAAGGTAAAAGAAAAAGAAGAACAAAAAAGTCCAAAAATGAGAGCAAAGTAAGATAAGTACACCATCTCCAAAAAGTGCCTTTTTTGGCAATTACATTTTTCAAAAATACACCTAATGGTAATATTCTCAACCTGAAATTTGGAGAAAAATAAACAAAAGATAAATGCGGACGATGGACACACACAGCAAACACGCCATCACCAACAAAGACGAACACAAGGAAAATGTTTACTGCAAAGTGTAATCGATAATATAACCGTGATTTCCTTTTTTATTTTAAAAAAGTAAATAAATAGAATGACGAAAATCATTAGAAAATATTTCAAAGAAGAAACTTCTATTGAATACGAGAAAATGGGGGTGATAGAAAAAAAGAGATAGACATTACTGAGCTCCTAAAAGTAGAAGAAGAAGTATTTGTTAGATGTTTATTCTTTGAGAGCACCATCAAATATACGATTTAAAAGACCAAAATTAAATAATTTGATATTGTAATAGGTTCTATATGAATCCAACAGTGGACCCTGTCTTTCCGGTACATCACCGCCACCTCTTCCCTGACAACATCGCCTTCACCCACCAGTGGATGCAAGAGCATCTGGGCCAGAGTCATCAACATCTGGGCCACTGAAGTCGCGATGCACCACGTATCAGGCATGAGCATCGGATGGAAGATGTTGCCGCGGTCGCTCACATTGGGGTGGAAGATGGGGGGTCCGGAAGTGCACCTTCGGTGGCTTTCAGGGGAACTGCAGCGGGAACATGATTCGCAGGTTGAAGATACCCCCTTCGTAGGGGGTTTCCGGTGGACTGGTGATCGTCGCCGCCCACACGTACAAGTCCTCCGCCTCCACCCCCGTGGAGTATATCAGCGAAGGGTTTCGCTGGAGGTCGCACAGGTAGTGACGCATCCATTGCTTGGGACGTGGTTCAGCCGCTGGAGGAGGATTGTTAGGAATAGACACCATTTGGAAGAGTTTTTTTTGTAAGTTTAGGGTTTCTTTCTTAGTGATGGTGTCGTGTTATGAGAAGGCGAGAGAGTTAAGAAGAAAAAGTGATGCGGTGCATGCATTAATTGTGTCGACTCACGATAAAAATTATGCGTTTCTCTACATACGACTAGTTCAACTACCAAGCATATGCGTCGTTTTAGAAATGCTAATTTAATAACCGATTAGACAGTTACCCAACAACCAAAGAGCAACATTATTTTAAACCGATTCATACCAAACCAAAATCCTCAAACCTAATTTAATTTAAACCGATTCTTATAACTGTAACCAAACTAATATTCTCAAAATAAATTTAAATGCGGAAATGACACGATCCCACAGACAATTTAGTTGATAAAAAAATTCAAAAATCCGAATTGACAGCATGATAAAGGGAACATATGGGACTGTTAAATCTTAGTCTTCTTCTTCTTCTTCTTCTCATGCTGCACCTCCCCTTCCTCGAATGAAACGCCAGGTTGATCCTACATGGTTGATATGTCTATAATTTGCATCATTTAGGCTGCATTTTAGAGTCCAAATCATATGTTCTCTCATTCATTTTAGGTCCTTAGGCATCAATTTAGGGTTTGCATTAGGTCCCAAAGAGTTTTGCATGGTCTGAAGTCTTTATCAGGTGTTTTGGAGGCCATCTGGAGTTCAAGAGGTGTGATCAGGAGTTGAAATGGTGAAGAAAAGGGTTAAAAATGGTGAAAATCGCTTAAAGGAATTTCTCTGCAAAAGCATGTACCGGCTAGATATGTTTATCGGCTAAAAATGCCATCGGGTGATTTCTATCGGCTAAAAATCAATACCGGGTGAAAATGCTGTCGGGTGAAGTCTTAGGCCGAGACTGAGAATTTTTATCGGCTAAAAAGCTTACCGCGGTATACGTTTCTCGGATATTTTACTTACCACGGAAAGCATTTCTCGGCTAAAATCCGTTTTCACCTGCGCGCATCAAAGATTGTAAATCCGGGGAATCTTCTGGTCCGAATCAGTTAACGGGGTCTGCATCAAAGTTGGAGATAATCAAGTCAAGATCCCAGAGCAATTAGAGTTACTGAATTCGGAGCAGTGAGAAGAGAGGTATCGTCACCGGGAGACACACCTGTCTCGCATGAATTCAAGAACCGATCCGATGAGTTTAAAAGATTACGTGGACGATGCCTTTCCATCTCGAATAAGTTTACAGGACCTTCATAAATGTTTGAGATATTTGAGTGATATTTCCAGAACACCTGAGATCACCTTAATTGGAGCTGTGGCGTGAAAGATATCGTCTCTGGAGTAGATGCTGGTCTTAAAGCTGTTTTTTCTGCCGTTCCGATGTGATGCAAAGATGACCAATCTAAATAGTCTTCCACTTCCCAAGCTCTGACGGTTTCTTCACCAAAGTTTTAGCTGAATGAGTAATCTTGATCGTGGAGTTGCTTTCAAGTCATTTGGAGTCGTGTGCTGTTATTACAACCGGGAGACAAGCAGGTCGGTACAGGCCTCATAAGTTGCAATACGCGCTAAGTGTTTCTACAAGCCTCGGTATCATTACCTCGATATTGCTTAAACCGAGGCTCGTTCCCTGAAGCTCTTTGGTCCAAACCCTGTACTAACTCCTCGGTGTATCAAGACCGAGGCATGCATGCTGAAGAAGCGAAGCTGAGAACGACTAAGTGTTGGACCTATACCTCGGCCTCAAGACCCCGGCGTTACATGTCGGACCTCATCTGCCTTGACCCCTCGACTACCAAGCCCCTTGGAATTGCATGCCGAAGTCCCTTGTCTCGAACCCAGATTCAAGAACTTGTTTGTCTTAAAAAGTGCACGTGAAGATGGATCAAAGACTAGGGTTCATGCATGTTCTTGACATGTTCTTCATGAGATCTTCATTCTGATCTTTGCTCACGTACACCTCTCGTCATCAAGACCTCGGCTTCACTCTCTCACACACCGAGGTGCTCACCCGACGACCCAAGAAGAGCGTTCAGTACCCGGTTTGTTCCAGGCTGACCCGCAACACTTAGCCTTCACTATAAATAGTTTTTAGGACTAAAAACCTGATCATCTTATCTTTTATCTGTCTTTAGCTTTGAGAACTTGCCTCTTTGGTGAAACTTGCTTCTTTTAATCAGATATCTTGTTTTCACGTAAAGATCTTGTTCTCTTTCATTTTCCTTTTATCATCATCATCATCATCATCAAAGCTTCTAATCATGACCAGCTTCACATCTTGCAAAGGATCTAGTGAGCTCTTCATGATTAGTGAGTAGTACGCTTATGAGGTTTCAAATAGGTAGATTAGGGTGCTTTCATGTTGGATTAGTGAGTTTAGGGTCTAGTCTTGGATATTTCATTCTCTAACCGATCAGATCTCTAAGCTGGATCCATGAACATCACATGTGGTCCAGATCTAAGACATGTTCTCGCACCAAAAGTGTTCGTAGAAATGTCTGAACCAATCAGTTAGAGGTTTAAGGATCTTTCATCATGAGAGTGATAGTTTGTTATTCTTAAATGACCTATTGAACTGAATCTTAAGGCTGACTGATTCATGCTTCTCAAAAGGGATTTTGATATGAAAGAGGATCAGTTTAGAAGCTTAATACCTTCAGGAGAGGATTAACTTACCTTCGAGTTCATGTGAAATGAAGTTGCTTGATAATCTTGATTCATTAACTCACTAGTTTGACATGGAAGCACCCGAGTCCTTTATCCTGTCCAAAGCCTCTATCTTATCATTTCATATCATCATCCGATGACTCGACTAGTTCCTTGTTTGTTATTTGCATCTTGTCTAGTTTAACTCTCACAACTTGTTCCATTTCTGTTCCTTCTTGCATTTCAAGTAGTTTAAACAACAAAACGTTTTCTTGATTGCACTTGAATTAAGCGATGAGCATCATAGGCTAGTGTCTACCACATGCTTGGATTCGATACCCCTTGTACTACAACTACAGGGGATTGATACGTCTTTAAAGACCCAAAAAGTCTTAGTTATCAATGGTAACACAGATATGTGATTTATACTATAGTTCTACCTATTAGTACCAAATAAAACCTATTAGTACCAAATAATACCTGAATCCCAGTTCATCGTCTGGTCAAATACGTTCTCACAAGTGCTGGCTCCGTCTTCTTCTTCTTTTCCTTCTCTGCCACCTCACCTCCTACTTCTTCATTCTCTTCAACTCCCTCTTCATTCTCTTCTTCTCCTTCATCACCTTGTTCTTTTCCTTCTTCTCCTTCATCATCTTGTTCTTCTCATTCCATCTCTTCTCCAAGACCTTCTCTTGGAATTGCCTCTTTTACATAAGATTCAACGGACTTCAATCTACTATCAATGCCATCGATGAGGTCTCTCATTTGGAGGAACTTCTCATCCATACTCTTCTTCAACCCTTGACGCCAGAGATTTAGAGGAGGTATTCTTCGCTGGTTCAACTCGGTTTTTTTCATCGTCCAAGCTCATATCCTTCCAGAATATTGGCTTCCCATCATCATTTATATGACTCGTCCAATTATCAGGAATTGTATCACTGTTATCTGGGTCTTCATACCTTTCCATGATACCAGCTAACATATCTTCCTCATCAGCAGATGGTTGCAAGATACTCTAGATATCTTTGGTATTACCGATGTTTCGTAGAGGTCCGACAGAGGAAATCCTTTGAGAGTGAATGGTCTGATTTTGGTCTTACACATCCGAGGACACCCTATGCCTGCTCCTTTCGCTTCTTCTCTGTATGTGTCCTTCAGACAAGGTATGGCTTCAAAAGGTAGCAACTCCAAGGGAGTAACAAAGCCAGGAAATGTCCAAGAATCAGTTTCGACGACCCCATTGAAGTGCGTCAATGTATGATTAATTTCCTTGAGATTCGCATCAAATGAATACATACCCCAAGGAAATGTTCTACACGCATCGAGATCTTCTACAATCCTCAAGAAAAAGGGTCTACCAAGGGAGCTCCCTTCGCAGTATTAGCTTTATCACCTAACACGCTTGCTAGAAAGTACAAAACACACATTCTTAAGCGATCAGGACCACCACACATCTTTTCAAGCTTCTCTTTAACAACAGCAAGTGAAGGGACAGTTCCTTTCTTAAAATACTTCTCCTTAAAATCACTACTGCTCATCTTCTCATAATTCTTTGGATAATCATGGCAGTCTAATCCAGATATGAGTCCATCTTCCTTATGCGAATACCAAAGTGGAACTCCATTAACAACAAACCAACACTCTCTCCTCTTGTTTGTCTTTGCTGTGCGTAGAAGGAGCACCCCCTGAGTCTTATGGGTTGTATCCAAATACATGGCCTTGTGCATATGCCAGAAGTGCTTGAATTGAGGATGTTCGGTAAACCATCTTAGCTCCTCGGGTCTCAGTCCCAGAGACGCCGACTCCAGATTCTCTACTGCTTTGTGGATCCAACACCAAGTACCTAACTTTATTGCCTTGTTGTACTGATTTGGACTAAAATACATACTCAGCGGTTGCATTGGTGGCTGTTTTCCTCATCATTACACGTTTGCTCCTAAACCTCATTACGAAAGCGTAATGGCTCCTACAGCGTGAATTGAAGTGACTCACTATCTCCTCCGAATGATGCCATTACAGTATTTCTATCAAGTTAAAACACATCTAATTATCACCCCACACATCAATCAAACTGAACTGAACTCAAATTTTGCAGGTAATACTAATTTCAGTTCCTCGTTCCTAAACCAAGGTATCAGACACTACATAATCATTCGTAAGCCTTCTGCCTAAGATAAGCAACAATAAAACGGCAAAACAAAGAAGAACAAAGAACGAACCTGATGCAAATTTGAAGATTGTGACCTGTTTAGATAATCGAAGACTCCTTGTTCATAGTATCCTCGTAGTTGTACCTAATGGAACGAAATTCCCAGAAATGATAGAGATTCAAATTTAGGGTTATTCAAATTTAGACCCGAAATCGGATCCGGTATTGCTAACTGGGTGTGGATATTTGATCCATCACTGGTTGGGTCAGTAAATATTATGATGTTCTAAGGGTGACTGATTATTTTCTCGCTTTTTCAATTTAAAAATAATTCAAAACTAAATTAATTTTTATAACGCTGGTATATGAGGATAAATTACTTGGTCAACTGGTATATGAGAGTTTGTTTCCATTTTTACACTCTTTCTCTTTTCTCTCTAAAAAAAAAAAAGAATTCTCTCAAAACTGTCACTCAAGGAAACCTCTCCCCCACACTTATTCACAGCCTATACCTAATAGTTCCTTGATGATGGAACTAGACACTCTTGAGACTTTCTCTTGTCGCTCTAAACCTAACACTTTCTGCTAAGTTTGATCCAAGGTGGCCTCATAACACACACAAAATGCTTTGGCTTGAAAGAAGGATGGGTTCAGGGTGTGAAAAACTGTTCCAAATGCGGAATCAGCTACTTGAGCTAAGGAAAAGAGTGGTAAAAACAGGTTCTAGCTCAAATATGTATATGCGTATCCACAATGCTCACTCAAACAATGCATCACAAGATAACTAAAAGTCAGGTTCAATGATTTTCACTTGTTAGAGCATGAGTTCAATTCAAACTTGCTTCACATATCCAAATCTTTTCAAGCCTTGCAAGCATAGAAGAACCAACAAACAATGACAAACCAAATTCTCAATGTGATGTTCTCTCAAGGAAAAAATCTATGATTACTCCCATGCATTGATGCAACCTATATGATGCAGCTAGATTCAATCCTAAAAATGTGAATGCAACTAGAATGAATCTTTTTTGTGAAATTTTTTCTGATTTTTGATTTTTTTAGTTTTTATATGCGCTTAGATGTAACTACATGAATTCATGAGACTCAAGACTCAAGATGGAAAATAAGATCAAAGAAAACATGATTAGCAAACATAAAACTCCTCCACACACTTAAATAAGACAGTCCTTTGTGTTATAAAAGCATGAGAAAAGGAGTGCAAAGCAAAAAAATCAAAATGCAAAACAAAAAATAAGAATTATATGCATATGTACAAAGGGTTTGGAGAAGGTACCTAGTCGCTGAGGTCAGACCCCACATAGTATGAAGGGTTAGACGTGGAACAAGATTGAGATGGCTCCATTGGTGGGGTGTTTTCTGGTGAATCAGGGAGGAATGCGGTTGCCGGATTGCTCCAGTCTTCTTTTCCTGGTGGGAACTCAGGTGCACACGTCATGGAGCTTTCTCCAATCTCCTCCCTTTGAACCGGTGCTGGAGAAGTGGCCTAGTCTTTGACTGGTGAGGCAGGTGCTGTGAGCTTTTTCATCTTCTTCTTTAAGTGCCTCACACACCTGACAAGCTTGTGAATCGTCTTGTCTTGCCACTTACACCATTGCTGAAGCCTACTGACTCTTGTGTAGTGCTTTCTGGTGTGATACTCCGGTGAACCCCACACATAAGGATCAAAATGGTATTGACCTGCACCCATTCTTTTTTCTAGGACTTGGGGTTCATCATTCTCACAACCAGCAGTTGGAGGCTCATCTTGAGGGTCTCTTGATGGGTTGTAGAGCTGGTCCTTGAGCAAGATAAAAGAGATATTGCATCTCTCTTGAAGTGTTGTGATCGCTCTGTTGGGTAAGAGAACTTGTACATCATCTCTTTGAAGCAGCTTGAAGTTATAAGCCCATCTGTTCCAAACTTTTCCCTAAAAGAACCCACTCTTGCTTAAATAACCCTCATCAATGAGACTCGACTTAGCTTTTGTATCAGGGAACACAAAACCTTTGGCTCTTAGTATCTTGGTCACAATTCACCCGTTCTGCAGCCTTCGGATCCCTCTTTTTATTCTTTCATACCACAAATTATACCGGTAAACAAGCATCTGAATAGCAAAGAAGGCGCCTAAAGAAGGGACATGAATAGGACCCTCAAATTCTTTCTTGTTCCTCGTGTGAGAGATGAACGGTTTCAAGCCAAGTCCCAAGAGTTCCATCTCGTTCAAGTGCATCACTCCAGGATTGTAGGTGCTGAAGAACATACAAGCTAATACCCTGTTGGCGTATCTGATGGCCGGATTCCGTATACAACTTGTCTTGCTCTTCCCTCCAACATAAGCTCCGAACGCTATTGTATCCCACAGAGCAGCAATCTCTTCTTTAGGGTACACAAACTTCTCCATAGGGCTCTCATTTCTGACAAAACCAAAGATCTCATCAATCTCCCTAAAGCTCACTTCGTACACAACCCCATTGATCTCAAATTCAATGTGTCCAAAGCCGTTCCCATGGAGTCTCTTGGGGTCTCTCTTGGCATAGATATACACCTCCAAAGAAGCACGAAACTGCTGAGTGATGCTCTCATAGGTGACATCTTTCATCTCAAAGAACGATGCTAAACCCATGTTTTGAAAACTGAGCTTCACATCATCAAGGATCTCCAGCTTGCCCAACAGTTCTACATCAGGGAACCGTCCTTGAGTCACTTGTGCCTTGTTAAACTGATGCAAGTACTCTCCCGCACTGGGCAAGTGGTCCTCTTCTTTCTCAGCTTTCGGTTCCTTCTTTGCCTCTTGTGCACCTTTGGGAATCCGTTCAAGTGCAGCTTCTCTCTTAGGTTCGGTTTCTGTTCTCTCCTAATCAGGTACCTCAGCTATCTGTTTCCCTTTCTTTTTCGGATCAGGCACCACCACAAGTGCAGGCTCAGTGTTCTTTGCTTGTTTTGCAGCCGGCTCCTCATCGGCTTTCTTGGTGCTCTTTGAGGTTTTCTTGCTTGTTCCCCCAGGTTTTGCTGAGGCCACAGCTTTTCCCTTGTTCTGCTTCTGCTGAATCTCCTTTTTCTGAGCTAAATCGGCCGTTATTTCTTTCATCTGCAAGAAACTCTCAAATAGAGAATGAGCAACAAGCATCGAATCACCAAAATCATGTTCAAGAGAAATATCAAGAACAGAGTTCTCTTAAAAACCAATGGCTCAATGATTTCTCAGGATAAGAGTGATCAGAAAATGAGTTTTAACAATGCTAAACATGATGTAAAGCAAACAGTTCAGCCAAGAAACCATCTCGCCATTAAAGCCGGTTTTAAGGTGCAATTTCTCAAGAATTTTAAAAACTCAAGAACAGGTGATTTTCAATGCAAGAACCGGTTTTTCATGTGTTTTCTATCCTGTTGGAATTTCAAAAGTTGTTCCCAAGGTATCTAACAACCTAAAAGAATCGATTCCACACAGAGCAAACTCAATATTGCCGATAATGAACATGGAAAAAGATGAGTTCTTTCAGATGAAATACCTTGGGGAACACAGGATTCAAGCTAAGCGAGATGAGAATTCAGGATAGAAAACTTCTCTACGAGCTCAATGCACTTGGTATCGCGTAAAATGAGTGAAAAATGAGAGAGATGTGCTCTTTCTAAATGCAGAGAAGGGAGAAGAAGAGCAAACTCGGGGTTTTGGCTGAGTATTGAGGCAGGTATGGGCTGGAGTCTATTTTACAGCTGTCTTTTGGACTCATGTGAGACTGGTCCCCACCATTTCAAAGACTCCAGGCATTGACCGCGCCTCAAAACGTCGACCGTGCTTTCAAAACCCATTTTCCCGCGGTAAGTGCTTTAAAGACCACGGTATAGATAAGGTGAGGGACGTACGGCATTTTATCATTTTTCTGGGTTTAACACATGCGGCCTCGGTGTGTTCCACCCCGAGGGCACCAGACCGAGGGCTTATAGCTCATGCTAACACAGAGAATCATTGTGACCCTCAAGCCTTCTCTGTTGACCGTTAAACCTTCTCCTTCGACCCAAGTGTTCAAAGTGTCCCATTTTGTTCATGGTCTTTACCAAGCACCTCGGCATGCTTCACCACGAGGGTATCACACTGAGGGGACTTGTTTCTGGGTAGAACACTTTGCTCTTGGGGGAATAAGCAGCACGTCCTCGGTACAGACATGTCGCGGCCTCAAAGCGAGTTTTTCAACATTTCTTTCGGACTTTCGGACCTTGGTGTGTTTACACCGAGGGGTTTATACCGAGGGACTTCCCTCACACTTGGTCTTTGGCATCAGCAACATGAGACCTCGGTATAACTAGGTCGTGTACTCAGAACGAGGTCTGGCCTGTTTTCTTTCGGATATCGACCTCGGTAAGTTTATACCGAGGAATTTACACCGAAGTTCTCTCTAGCACTTAGTCTCTGTGCTAATTTCTTCTCCTCGTCCTCAAAATCATGTTCAAAGCAATCCAACGGTTAGATCTCCAAATATCATCAATGCACTGAAAGCCGATCAACACAAGTCCAGTCAAGCACATGAGCTTTCAACCATGGCCATCCTTGTTCCCACCGAGGCTCGAGAGGTTTTACCCCCCGGTGGACCTTTTTCCAATCCTCAGGAGCCCAACTAAGGCTCAAGACACTTCCTGTACCCAATTTACAAGCCCTAGACGCCCAAGACTTGGAGAAACACTATAAATACTCATTTTTAGATCTTTTGTAGGAGAGCCTCTTTCTTCTCTTTGAGAGAG